ACAGCGAGCTGTGCTGGCTGGGACAGGACTTGGGAGGTGATGGCAGCTGGTCCGGAGGTGGCCCTGGTCAGCCTGGGACGTTTTAAAGGCGTGGGGACGGAGACGGGCGTGAGGGTCATCAGGACGTTGTTGAGATGCTGCGATTTGTGCTTCAGCTCCTTCGCTCGCTTGCGGTGCTCGTCGCACTGCTGCTCCAGAGCTGGAGAGAGAGAGGAGGATCGGCTCAGCCCCGGGACGAGCTTCCCTGGGAGCTCATGGCAAAGCCTGGAGCAGCAGCAGCCAGTCCCACCGCGGCGGGGTTTGCACCCCCCGGTGTGCCCCGGGGGCATACCTGCCAGATCCCGCGTGTACTGCTCCCTGGAGCGATCCATCTGACACTTGTGGCTGGCCAGGACCTTCTTGACCAGATCCAGCATACCGAAGTTCTGGACTACGTTGTTGAGTAAAACAGCATCTTAAAAAACAAGACACAGATCTTTGAGGAAAGCAAAATTCCCCACACAGACTATTTACGTCTTGGTAAAAAGCCAGACGGCAGCCAACGCGTTCAGCTGAGACGGCCAAAATCTGCGGGAGGGTAACGCGAGAGGCTGGGGAAGAGGAGGAGACAGGAGAAGTCATGAGAAAGTGCCAGAGGTCACCAGCAGATAAACGGAGCTCTGCTGCTTAGCAGAGGTGACAAGAAATCTGCTGGCACAGGAGCTGGTTGCTGCATCATTATTCTGGTGGCCTAAACTCCACCTCTGCTCCCGAGCCGAGTGTTTGGCCAGCGCCAGAGCCAGCAGATAGGAAGCCTCAGGCAGAGGGAATTGGAGAACTGAGGCCACCTGAAGTGTCCCCGAGTGCAGATGAGACCCTGCTCAGGGAGCAGCCAGAAATGGGATTGAGTTTTGAGGAACTATGTCCCTATAGTGCCATCCAGATATCCCTAAGGATCAAAAAAACCCACGAGCCCCTCTCCGTGCCCACGTCCTTACCGCCGAGCTGCAGCGGGGGGTCCTGCGCTCGCTGCTGCAAGCCCTTCATGGTCTCCACCAGCTCCTGGTGGAACTCGTGGATGACTTCTTCCAGGAGACCCGTGTCCTTCAGGCCTCGCCAGAAAGCAAAGGTGTCATCTGGAGAAAGAGAAAGCAAAGGAAGAACCTCAAAACCCTCGGAGCGGGTTTTAATGGCGATCTGCTCTGGGTTCCCCTCCTGGCCCCTACAAGGGTGACGTCCCCACGAGGCTGGAGGCACAGGGTGCTGGGGCAAAGCCCAGCCGGAGCGCAGACCTGAAGGAGGGGCAGCTGGAAAAGGACACACTTTGCCACCCTCTGTCACACCCGAACCACACACTGATGCTACAGAGAAGCCCGTTGCTCAGAGCACGCAAGGGAAGCGAGAACGATGCTACGACCCCTCTGATTTTTACTTTTTTTTCCCCAGAGCCTCACCGAGCGCTTGGCTGACGCTTTGACACCTCAGTGCTTACGAACAATTTCATCCCAAGACGATGCTGCAGTCAGGCCACGCATGGGCAGGATATAGCGCAGCGCTACGCGCCGGTAAGCGGCAAACGAATAATCCCAGTAGAGGCTGAAGCAGGGCTGGTCCAGCAAGAAGAGTTCTGCTCCTC